ATTCACTCACCTCAGCCTCCCAAAGCTCGGGATTACAGGCTGAGCCACCGAGCCCGGCTACCTTGAAAGTTTCTAGCAAGCACACCTTTGTCTGTGTGTCTGTGTGTGGCAGGGCTGGTGGCAAAACAGGCATAATGTAAAATTTACCTTTCTAACCATTTTAAGGGGGGAATTCACAGAACATAAAATGAACCCTCTTAAAGTGAACAGTTCAGTAGCACTTTGTATATTCACAGTGTTGTGCAGCCATCACCTCTATCTAGTTCCAGGACATTTTCACCACTCCAGAGGAAAACCTCATCCCCTCCCCTAGTCCCTTGTGCCCAACAGTCTGCATTCTGTCTGTGGCTTTGCCTTTTCTGGGTATTTCATACAAATGGAGTCAGATACTACGTCGCCTTTTATGCCTGGCTTCTTTCGTTTAACATGTTTTCAAGGTTCTTCCATGTTGTAGTATGTATCAGAACTTCATTCTTTTCATGGTTAAATAATATTCCATCGTATAGTGGAAGATCCTGAGAATATAAAGCCGACTAAGGTAGTGCCCCTGTTATCTAGGGGCTCATAGTTTAGGTGAGAAACAGAGATGATATGAGAAAAACACTCATGTGCCAAGTGTAAGTGGGAAGAAGGGCACCCGAGGCTTGGGAGGGCAGAGATGTATGTGCCTGGAAGGCCATAGAAAAGAAAAGGGACTTTGCAGTGTGTCTGGGAGGATTACATGCTTTCTTGTGGCAGAAGAGGACAGAGGCAGCATGCCAAAGGCACAGGGGAGCCAGCCAAGTGTCTCTGGGACCTTTGCAAAAGTCTAATCTGCCTATAGGATGTTTGTGAAGAAAAGGACAGAAAATAGATATGAAGCTGGCAGGTAAGTTTTAGGACTCCTGTATCAGACCAAGGAGATTGGATTTTGTGCTTTAAAAGAAGTTTATGTGAATGAATTGTAGTGGAGTTAGGAAGGTCACTTTGGTGAGTGCGATGAGGATGGGTTTTTGGTGGCATGAGACAGGAAGATCACGAGGGTCTGAGTGAACTAAGGGGAGACAGAGAGAAGGGCATGTCATCAGTCATTATATCCAGGGGCAGGAATCACCAATTCTTTATGACCCATGGAATGTTCTGGGAGGGAGAGGAGCAGGAGTTCTTTGAGAATGAGTCTCAGATTGGCTCCGTGGGTAGATCTAGATGCTGCTGCTCCCTACGAGAGGGAAGGCAGGAGAAGCAGTCATGTTTTATTGTTGTGTGTGGTTTTTTTTTGCTCTTGGTAGTGAGAGGTTGGTGTAGAGAATGACTTCTGCTTTGGACAAATGGCTCTGAACGACTTTGAGTCCATCCAAATGGAGATGTGTTCAGGAGGCAGTTGGGAATGAAAGATTGGAGCTCAGGAGGAAGGCAGGAGCCAGATATTGGCACAGGCCCTTAGAGAGTTGGACAGGGAGGACACAGGAGTGGAAGATGGGGGATGTTATGGTGGGAGGAGATAAGGAAGTCAATGAGGAATGAGAAAATGCTCTATGGCCGGGTCTAGGAGGTGAAAGGAGAAGGGGAGCCAGCCAGGCCCGGGTGCAGTAGAATTTATATCATCCCATGTTGACGGAATCAGTGAGAAGATTGTCAATAGCTATTAGTGTGAAAGTTCGGAGCTCATTTGGGCTCATCTCCTCCAATAGTTATTCAAAGTGTGATCTCTACTGGTAAAAAAAATCATCTAGTATTGGCTTCCCTCCTCCAATGGACGATTTCATATCTGTGGAGTCCTCTTCTCATTTCAACTGAATATATAAAAATAGATATAAATAAATATATATAAATATATAAATAGAAGGTGTTCCACACTTTGGAAAGGTTCATAATGTAAAATCTTCCATAATGTGCATCCTGGTAATTAAGTAATTTGCATGCTGACTAGTAACATCACTGTGTGACTATCAGTCAACCTAAAGATTTTACTTTTCAGTCACTCATGCTCCTACTTTTTAAATTTCAGAGCTTACCCAGATTGAGGATCCAAGAGAACAGTGGAGGCGAGAACAGGAACGCATGTTGAAGGAATATTTAATTGTAGCCCAGGAGGCTCTCAATGCCAAGAAAGAAATCTACCAGATTAAGCAGCAGCGGTTTGAGTTGGCTCAGGAAGAATACCAGCAGCTGCACAAAATGTGTGAGGATGACAGCCGCTCGTACGCCAGCTGTGAGTTGACTTGTCTCCTTCAGTTAATATACTTTAAAGGTCATCTCTTTGCTGGGTTATTTGCAAACGCTGAACCTTCCTTGGGCAAGACTGCTTCCTAAAGGTTCTGATAGTATACTGTTAGGTAATCAATATTCTGTATGGAAATCAGATGGGCACCTGACAGCCACTCTTTTTTTTTTTTTGAGCCGAGATCTCACTCTTTCACTCAGGTTGGAGTGCAGTGGCATAATCATGACGATCATGGCTTGTGGCAGCCTCAACCTCCTGGGTTCAGGCAGTCCTTCCACCTCAGCATCCCGCTGAGTAACTGGAACTATAGATATGCCACCATGTATGGCTAATTTTTTAATTTTTTAATTTTTGCTGGAGACGAGATTTTGCTATGTTGCCCAGGCTGGTCTTGAACTCCTGGGCTCAAGCAATCTGCCTACCTTGGCCTCCCAAAGTGCTGGGATTACAGACATGAGCCACCATGCCTAGCTTGACAGCCACTCTTGTAGTAAAGACTTAAGTGCCTACTTTGTGCCCAGGTACTGGGATATGGTGGTGACTAAAAAAAGAAGGATGCCTGCCCTTCTGGAGCTTACATTCAGATGGAGAAGGTTAAAAGTAATCAAGCAAACAGGTACAATTTCAGATAGTGACATGAAACAGCCTCCTGTCTCACGTTTGTTGGTTTTGAAGAGGGCTTCCCTCAGAGATCTCTGCAGTTAACACTACTTGTCTGGAATGATCTTTTGAGAACTCCACACAGTGCTTTCATTAATCCTGGGTGGAAAGACATAGAAACCTTCAGCCATGTCAAGCACCAGGCACTTTATAGAGTCCTTTTTTGAACTTTAGGCTTTACTGAATGCAGTATAACTCAGAGAATCGGGCAACTCTCCTTCTACCCCTCAAGTAAGATGGCCATACATTGCTGTTCTCAAAAGGGACCCCTCCTTAGTTCTGGAGGCTGCCAGAGATGGGCTCCCATTTCATTAGTACTCAGCAAATGCTCAAGTGTTGAAGGAACCAGGTAAGGTCTTAGAAGCCAAAGCATTTCACTGTGGACATAGCCACTGCTTAAGCCAGTTCCTTCCCAGCAAAGTTGTCACATACAATAGCGCCTCACAGGTACATGTGTATGGCTACGACTGGCCTGGGCACCAGTGAGCTTAGAGAGAATGTATGAAGTTGGTACCACTAGGTTGAATTTTATGACAACACAAGTGTATTTGAGAAATGGGGGAACTTTCCTGTACATTACTGCCATGTTGTCATGGCAGACTTTAAAGACATGGCCATAACTTTATTCTGTGTTGCAAGTCAGAGTGGAGTTAAGGCCAAGGGGCTGTATATCTTGTGCTGTTTTATTGCAGCTGCTGTTGAAGGGGCAGAAACCCTAGAAACTGTGGACAGGGACAGGGTTTTCCCTTCACAATAGGAATTCCAGATGTTTCTATTACCATGTGCCTTGATGGAAGGGGGGGACTTAGGTTTAATGGTGTGTTGCTTCCAAGTCATCTCATCTCTTACTCTTCAGATTTTGGTACATACCAGTTTTTTGGTTGTTTTGTTTTTAACTTTCTATCAGAGTGTGATAGGTCAGTTCAGTGCTGATTTTTAGAGACTGTTTTCTTATCTCCACAGTTATCTTTTCTTGGAATGTCTTTCTCTGATTTTGGTATCAAGGTAATACTAGACTCATAGAATAAATGTAGATATATTATCTCCTCTTTTGTGAAAGAGTCTGTGTAGGATTGGTATTAATAATTTCTTAACCATTTGATAGAATTCACCAGAAAAGCCACCTGGACCTGGAGTTCTTTGTGGAAATGTTTTAAACTAATAGATACAGAGCTATTCAGATTTTTTATTTCTTCTTGAATTAGTGTTGGAATTTGTATGTTTCAATGAATTTGTCTATTCATCTAATCCAAAAGTCAGCAAACTTTTCTATAAAGGGTCAGATAATAAATATTTTAAACTTTGTGGGCCATGGGATCTCAGTGGCGACTATTCAACCCTGTGGTTATGGTGTACAAGTAGTCAGAGACAATATGTAGATAGATTTGTATGTGTGTCTGTGTTCTGCATAAAAGTATCAAAACATGTAACAAGCTGGATTTGGCCCACAGTGAGTTTGCTTACCCTGGATCTAAGCTGTTAAATCTATGTTGTTCATAAGATTCCCTTATTATCCTTATCCTTTTAATGTCTGTAGGCTTTGAGGTGCTATCCTCTCTTTCATTCCTGATATAAATAATCTGTGTCTTTCTTTTTTTCTTAATTCGTATAACTAAACTTTTATTGATTTTATTTATCTTTACAGTGAACTTGCCTTGGTCTCCCCCCTCTATATCTTATCTGTTTTCTGCTTTATTGGTTTCTCTTCTTTATGACTTCTTTCCTTCTACTTAGTTTGGCTTTAATTTGTTCTTTCTCTTTTAGCTTCCTAAAGTGGAAACTTGGATCACTGATTTTAGATTTTTCTTAGTTTTCCACATAGCCGCTAAAGATATGGATTCTTCTCTACTTTAACTGCATCCCACAAATTTTGGTATGCTATATTTTCATTTTCATTCAGTTCACAATATTTTCTCATTTCCTTTGTGGTTTATTTTTTGACCCATGGGCTCTTTAGAAGTAAGGTGTTAGAACTTTTAAAAGATATCATGTTATTGCTTTCTAATTTATTTTTATTATGGTCAGAGGCTATACTATGTAAAATTTCAATCTTTTGAAATCTATTGAGATGACTTTTATAACCCAGAATATGGTCTTTATTGGTGATCTTATAGCATTGAAAGCCCATGGGTTTGGTGTCTTGATGCCACCTCTAGCGGAAATATTGGCTTATAACTGACTCTGAGATGGTTAGCAATTCTAAACTTTTCAGAAAACCACTTGGTTGAAGCTACATTGAGCCATATAAAATGAGCCTTTTTTTTTTTTTTTTTTTGAGTTGGAGTCTCACTCTGTCATCCAGACTGGATGGCAGTGGCACGCTCCCGGCCACTGCAGCCTCGACCTGATGGGCTCAGGCGATCCTTCTCCCCAAGCTTTCCAAGTAGCTGGAACTATAGGCATGTGCCACCATGCCTAGCTAATTTTTTGATTTATTGTAGAGACGAGGTCTTGCTAAGTTGCCCAGGCTAGTCTCTAACTCACTGGCTCAGGCAATCCTCCCACCTTGGCCTCCCAAAGTGCTGGTATTATAGACATGAGCCACAGTACCCGGCCTAAAATTGCCATTTTTGTAGCTACAAAAGGGCTGAATGTTGACTGTTTCTTATGATTCAACCCAATGGTATGTTTCTTTCTTTCTTTTTTTTTTTTTTTGAGTTGGAGTCTCACTCTGTCACCCAGACTGGAGTGCAGTGGCCTCTCCCGGCCACCACAGCCTCGCCTGCTGGGCTCTGGCGATCCTTCCGCCTCAGCCTTCCGAGTAGCTGGAATTACAGGCACGTGCTACCACGACCGGCTAATTTTTTGATTTATTGTAGAGATGAGGTCTCGCCAAGTTGCCCAGGCGGGTCTCGAACCCGCGGGCTCAGGCAATCCACTCACCTCAGCCTCCCAAAGGCGCGGGATTACAGGCTGAGCCACCGAGCCCAGCTTTTTTTTTTGAGTTGGAGTCTCACTCTGTCACCCAGACTGGAGTGCAGTGGCCGCTCCTGGCCACCGTAGCCTCGACCCGCTGGGCTCCGGCGATCCTTCTGCCTCAGCCTTCCAAGTAGCTGGAACTACAGGCGCGCGCTACTACGCCTGGCTAATTTTTTGATTTATTGGAGAGATGAGGTCTCGCCTGCCCAGGCGGGTCTCGAACCCACGGGCTCAGGCAATCCACTCACCTCAGCCTCCCAAAGGTGCGGGATTACAGGCTGAGCCACCGAGCCCGGCTAATAGTATGTTTTTTTTCAGTAGCCTTGAGGTTTGATTAGGTCTCCAAAGAGGCTTTCAGATCAATTTTTGCAAGGATGGACTGGAAGAAGTACATATCAGAAAAACTTGCCAGGAAGTTTCTTGCTGGTGACTGAAAAGAAAAATTGAGTCTGGAGAGTGTGTGTTATTTACTGGCTACTACCACATGGTCAGGATTTCAGCTGCAGTGATTGCAGGGACTCTGGACTAGATTCCCTTGAGGATGTAGACACAAGGGGATCTTAGACATCCTGTCTGATTCTACCCCCACCCTGAGGGAGAATAAGAGGAAACCTCAACACTAGGCTGAGGGTTAAGGATATTTATTACTTGGAGTCCTGTGGAGCTGGGGCATCCCACAGGATCAATTTTTGTATTTTCATGAGTTTTTCACTCCCTTGACATTTGGGCAAGTCGGGAAGTATACTCAATTACATTCCGTCCTGTGCCTCATGGAATTGTATTAATGCTCATTAAGAAGAAATCCTCGAGATGCTCTCTTTGAAGTGGTATCTGTTTCTACAGTAGAGGAAGCTGATGACTCTGTTGCTGACTTGAGATTCTAACATGCTCACCAGATTCCATCTCCTGATCTGCTGTGAGTCTCTCTGCAGATGCAATCTCTTCTTCCACTTGTGTGGGTTGCCTCCGAGGCCAGAATTGGGCCTGCCTGTTTTTATAAAAGGGTTGGAGATGCCAGTGGATCTTCCTGGGGCCTATCAGCTCATCAGGGAAAAAACCGGCTATGAATGGAATCTGGGAGTTGATCCCAGTGGTTTATCAACTTGCTGCTGTCCCTGGAGCCTCCACCAAGCTCTTTCAGTCTGCCATTTATCCTGAATTACAGTTATAAGGAGAAGAACTCTTCTGGAATTGTCTCAGGTGAATTCTGTGTGGCCACAGGGTAAAGTTTAATACAGTGATCCTGTTGGCTTGAATCACTGTGCTCTAACAGATGGCACTTACAGCCACACCAGAGAGGATGGGCCTACGTCCGGAGCTGCTGGTGATAGTATCCATAGCACAACTGGGCTCTACTTGGCTACTCGGGTCTCACTGTGTCTCACTCTCTCTCAGGGCTAGTCATCTAA